GTAAGTGCAGCCTTGCAAACTATGCCTTAGAGATGTAACAAGCATGGTTCAAATTCAAGTTGGGTGTAGTCGCCTGATGTTCGAAGATTCGGGCCCCGAATGGGGAGCCCAATCTCCATGAAATGGGTATATGGTAAGTGCAGCCTTGCAAACTATGCCTTATAAGAGATGTAACAAGCATGGTTCAAATTCAAGTTGAGCGTAGTCGCCTGATGTTCGAAGATTCGGGCCCCGGAGTCGGGGCCCGGATGGGGAGCCCAATCTCCATGAAATGGGTATATTGTACGTGCAGCCTTGCAAACTATGCCTCAGAGATGTAACAAGCATGGTTCAAATTCAAGTTGAGTGTAGTCGCCTGATGTTCGAAGATTCGGGCCCCGGATTCGGGGCCCGGATTCGGGGCCTGGATGGGGAGCCCAATCTCCATGAAATGGGTAACCTTGCAAAGTATGCCTTAGAAATGTAACAAACATGGTTTAAATTCAAGTTGAGTGTAGTCGCCCGATTTGTTCGAAGCTTTGGTTCGGGGCCCGGATTCGGGGCCCGATTCGGAGCCCAAGCTCCACGAAACAAATGCAGGTATATACTGCTAAGATCAATTGGTATGCACAGCGTTGAACAATGCCTGTCAGGGATGTAGCAAGCAAGACATGCAAGCTCTGCGCATTTACTCGAAGTTCTAGCCTCCAATTCGGGCCCCTGTCTTGTCATTTTTCTTGGGTTGTCGACATTCTGCAGGCTAGAGATAGCAGGATCGCGTGCTTCTCGACAGAGCTCGGTGGCCTAGAATTTCCAGAAGTGTCATGTTGCGTCATCAGTCATGCGTGGTCACCGACTCTTCTGATTATCTGACCTTGGAACATGTGGGAATGCCTCCGCCGCATCCTTTGCCACTTTTCCATTTCAAACAAGGATTTTGCGCAGTCAGCTAAGATGAACACGGACCAGTAGAACCTCCCTTGCTAGGGCTACATCTCCAGGAATCACGCCAAGTTAGTACTTGCGTGTTTTTCATGGATGACTCATTGTTTGAATCACTGCCGCGTCCAACCATTGATGGCCATGGACAAGCAGGTATATAGTAAAGGTTCTCAGGCCCAGAGCTTCAGCATGTCCACCTGCCGCCAGAGCAAGACATTGAAGAGCAATGCTGCGGGCCGGAGCAAGTCAAAGAGATCATCAGAGCAGGTTGTTGCGGACACACCCGTGAAGAAGGATGATGAGCAGAAAAAAAGCTGCCCACAAAAAGCAACTTGGAGTTTTCAACCCAAACCCGCAAGAGTCCTTAGCCATGCTCTGGCCCAGCCATACGGGATGCCATATTGACGAACTGAATAATGTTGGGTATGAGGCATTTCATATTGCATACACTCTATATTCCAAAACATCTGTCAAAGTTTTGCGGTCCGCAATGCGGCCTCAGGTATGAGAGCCGAAGAAAAAAATCTTAGATATCGTTTGAGTGCTGAAGACTACCAAAAGATCCAGGGCTATGATGATCTGCAGAAGCAGCTGGAGCTGGATGAGGCGAAGGCGCTGTTGGCCCAATGTCAGGACCCGCAAGGATTGGTGAAGAGTTTGCAGGAATCCGCTGAGCGCATACGGCTTCTCGAAAAAGAGAATGTGGACTTGTCTCGGATTTTGACAAACTATGTCTCGAACCCTGCTATGCTTCCTGGCAGAGCTGGAGATGCCTCAATCAAAAGGGAGGTTCTAGTCAAGAGGGAGGTTCCATGATAGACTGTGCAGGGCGTCCAGGAGGTGTTCATTTGGGGTGTCCTGCATCATTTTCGGCAAGTCAGGACAGGGGCCGTACACCAGTGACCTTGGACAACAGAGCTTCCGAAGACCTGTTAGGGGTGGAAAAAAAAATATGCCTTCCATTGCCTTCCATTACACTAACTTGGTCGAAGCAATCAGAATAACTGCAACATGCGTTGTTGGGCTGGTTCATGAGATCTTGAATTCTTTGCAGTCACGGCTGCGCATTTCTTCTTTGATTTTTTGCTGGTTGTCTGTAATGCAATTTCCTTGGCAGCACATCCAGGTTGGTGAGCCTTCCGTGACTATGGGATGGAAAACCTGTGACAAGAAGGTGCTGACCTTCTGGTTTCCATGGTATTCTGTGGCCTGAAGCCTTTTAAGTATGATGAGACTCACTGTAGAACATTGTATATATTGTTCCAAATATTTGCCTGAACGGACCCCTTTTTTGCCAGCTGTATCTGATACAGCTGGTTGAAAGCCCCACTTGTAGAGCCATGTTGGGCCATGTTGAGGCCTATATTGGCAGAATGATGCCTCTACGGACCCCTTTTTTGCCAGCTGTATCTGATACAGCTGGTTGAAAGCCCCACTTGTAGAGCCAACTTGGGCCATGTTGAGGCCTATATTGGCAGGATGATGCCTCTACGGACCCCTTTTTTGCCAGCTGTATCTGATACAGCTGGTTGAAAGCCCCACTTGTAGAGCCAACTTAGGCCATGTTGAGGCCTAAATTGGTCTTGGGCTCATCTTGGGTCCATGTTGGGCCCATGTTGGACGTTTGGAGGCCTTTGTTGGAGACAACCGTCGCTTGGGTCGGGAAAACAGTTACTTGAAGTATTCGACTTTGGTTGTACAATCACTTGTGTTTTAGCTTCATCCCATGATATTCTCATGCATGTTGGTAGTGAGGCTGCGTTTGCAGTTTGCTCTGGTTTTTCCGCACCTGCCAGGTGACAGTTGTTATAGATTTTGTTAGAGTAGTCCGCTTCCCGCCTCTTTTTCTCCTTCTCCTTGCTTCTTCGCCAGCTCTCAATCACAGTGGGCGCACCGGCGGACCTCAACCACGAGCTTCGGATCACGTGGGCACCAGCGGGCCTCCACCGCGACCCCGACCGCCAGTGGGCAGTGCTGGGCCTCCACTGCCAAACACGTTGCCAGAATGTATCTAAGATAAAATGTCAGAACATATGCCACATCAAAGGCTAAAATATATGTCAGATCCCACACCCGAAAAACAATGCCACAATACATGCCAGGTAAAAGCTCCTGTCTTTTCGGGAACAAGTTCACCAACTGTAATTTCAAACCGGGAACCCTTGTGAGCCTGTGAATAGTATTTCAGGATCGCGCTTCTGGGGAGGGCTGCCTGGCAGAGTTTGCGATCCCCAACCAGATCCGGGATCGCGTTTCTAACGTGAGGCCAGGGATCAGCACAGCAAATGTTGAGACGAATATATGCAAATGCAACTATATGCATCAGTCACCGGGATCGCAGATTTTGTCAGCCTGCCTGGCCGAGCTGTGCGATCCCTAACCAGATCCGGGATCGCGTGATGCTTCTTCAATCAATAGGCAGAAATCAGGGCTTGGATTATGTTTTCTTTGGAAAAAAAAAACTTTACAATCATGCTTCAATCAATAGGCAGAAATCAGGGCTTGGATTATGTTTTCTTTGGAAAAAACAGCTTTACAATCATGTATAGGTAGTGCGATCCCGGACCTGGTTGGGGATCGCAGATTCTGGCAGCCTGCCTGGCCGAGCTGTGCGATCCCCAACCAGATCCGGGATCGCGTGATGCTTCTTCAATCAATAGGCAGAAATCAGGGCTTGGATTATGTTTTCTTTGGAAAAAACAGCTTTACAATCATGTATAGGTAGTGCGATCCCGGATCTGGTTGGGGATCGCAGATTCTGGCAGCCTGCCTGGCCGAGCTGTGCGATCCCCAACCAGATCCGGGATCGCGTGATGCTTCTTCAATCAATAGGCAGAAATCAGGGCTTGGATTATGTTTTCTTTGGAAAAAAACAGCTTTACAATCATGTATAGGTTAGTGCGATCCCGGATCTGGCTGGGGATCGCAGATTCTGGCAGCCTGCCTGGCCGAGCTGTGCGATCCCCAACCAGATCCGGGATCGCGTGATGCTTCTTCAATCAATAGGCAGAAGTCAGGGCTTGGATTATGTTTTCTTTGGAAAAAAACAGCTTTACAATCATGTATAGGTAGTGCGATCCCGGATCTGGTTGGGGATCGCAGATTTCGGCCAGGCAGGCTGCCAGAATCTGCGATCCCCAACCAGATCCGGGATCGCATTATGCTTCTTCAATCAATAGGCAGAAATCAGGGCTTGGATTATGTTTTCTTTGGAAAAAAACGGCTTTACAATCATGTAAGCATAATGCGATCCCGGATCTGGTTGGGGATCGCAGATTCTGGCAGCCAGCCTGGCCGAAATCTGCGATCCCCAACCAGATCCGGGATCGCATTATGCTTCTTCAATCAATAGGCAGAAATCAGGGCTTGGATTATGTTTTCTTTGGAAAAAAACAGCTTTACAATCATGTAAGCATAATGCGATCCCGGATCTGGTTGGGGATCGCAGATTCTGGCAGCCAGCCTGGCCGAAATCTGCGATCCCCAACCAGATCCGGGATCGCATTGTGCTTCTTCAATCAATAGGCAGCTCAAACAATTCGGTCCTTTTCCAACAAAATGCCTGCAGAAGATACATGTCCATATGTGCACCGACGAGCTCCCCCGAATCCGGTCGGATTCTGAGGTTCCGGCCAATGATGCTAGATTTCGCACACCATTTTTGTGTGACTCCCTTGAGAAATGAAATCACAGGCTCAAGGCATTTCAAAAGTTGGAGTTTTTGGCCTTTCCGTATTCAAGGGCCATTTTGTGAACGCTCCACCCCTTTCCACGGTGCAAATGTTGAAAGAGGTTCCAAGGATTCATCAGCTGCAATCTATTCTGCGCAGCTTCAGAAACTGAATTTTCACTGGGTGAACCAGCCGGGTCACGCCTTGCAGAAAGATCGTTCGATGCAGCTGCTAAGCGCGGTCTATCGGTTCCAGTTCTCCCAGCTTGAGAGATGCCATCACGGTTGATTCTATCCAGCCGCCCATGAGGATCACTTGAAGAGATTTCTGAGCTGCCAGACAAATTTTCATGCAAAACGCCCGACTGTCGCCTGGAAACGCTTGATGAAGACGCTGCGTTCCCACGCTTCAAATGCTCTGCTGAGCCCGACTGTGATGACGAAACGCTTGACGATGATGCTGCGTCACCACGCTGCAAATGCTCTGCCAGGCCCGATCGTCGCCTCATACTTTCCGACGAGCTCACACCATGCAAGCCCGATGGTCTTGTCATACTTTTTGATGCAGTCGCTCCATGCGAGCCCGACCGTCTTGTCAAACTAGTTGATGCAGTCGCTCCATGCGAGCCCGAACGTTGCCTCATACTGTTTGATGAACCTGCTCCATGCGAGCCCGACCGTCTTGTCAAACTTTCTGACTCATCATCGCCATAGAAAAACCTCTTAAGACAGCATCGAGCCAGCTGCAGAGACATGTTTCCCAGATAGACAACGCCTAAGCACATGAGCACTGCACCACTGATCCACATTGCATCCAATCCATCCCAAGGAATCACCTCATTTTCCACCGCTTCAGCTTGAGAAAGCAAGGCACATCCAACTGTCAGCGCAAGCACAGCTTGATGCGCTCCACCATGGCCATCAGATATTGAAGATTCGCTTTTCTGGATTTTCTTCTCGTTGGTCATTCCCAAATCTTGCAAAAAACGATCAAAAGCAGAACCTTGAAGACTTTTGGTGAACCCATCCGCAATCAACTCGTTGCCACGCAAGTGCAGAAGTTGCCAAACTCCCCCTGGAATTGAACTGGTTCCATCCAAAGCTTCTCGTAGAACAGCCGACCTGATGCGAAGATGGCGTGTTCGCCAAGATGTGTTTGCATTGCCATTTCCAAGACCTATTGCAGCCACATTGTCACCATAGATCAGCCGCTGGAACTCGTTGTTGTTCAGTGATTCACCATACATCATACATAGCATAGCTTCCATGGCTCTGCCAGCAATTAATGATTCACAGTAAGCAACCAGCTCCGCCTCGGCCGTGCTATGTGTCACAAATGGTTGTTGTGAGCAGCTCCAAGCAATTGGTGCTCCTGACAAAAGAACCACTATGCCCTGTACGCTTCTGAAGCCTGAGCCGGCCCCGTAGGAAATGTCAGAGCATACCTCTATGAGTTTTCGATGTCTTTCAACCTTCAACTGTCCCCTTGCGCCCCACTGGCCATGTAAGGGTCCTCGGGGATAATGAAGACCACCTTTCTGGTGCTTGATGTATCGCAACAGGCTCTGGCAGCTTTCCTTGGATTTCGCGTCACCAACCTGCACATAGTTGCTACCCCAACTGATAGGTCAGGACGAGTGCGAGTGGCTAACCATAGCAAGGATCCTGCAATCCCTTGCGCCCGCTTCACGTCCTCAGGGCAAATGTCCTGCTGTTGAACCTCATCCTCTTCAGCCACTCGACAATTGGCGTACTCAATTGGGGATCCAACTTCCCACTTTTTCAAAATCTCCTTCTCATACATGCATTGGTTGAGGTGGAAACCATCATGTTGACCATCCTCATAGATCTCAAAACCACAGTATTTGACTGGAGTCTCATCTGACGCCACTTCCAAGTCAGACAAAGCCCAAACTCCAGAAATCGCGGCATAGACGAGATCGATGACCTCTTTCTCCGCAGCAAACATCAAGTCATCCACGTACACTGTCATTACGCCTACCCACCGATGTTCTTCCACCTTATTGTCAACTTCAATCATTCGCCAAACATTATCATCACCAGAAGGCACCAGTGCTCCAATCCATTGCCTTCCTTCCTCCTCCCGCTCCCATCGGAGTGTTGGCAAAGTTTGATCTCTGTGGATGCTCCAATCTTTTGGTGACGACCCAAGACCATACAGCGCCATTTGCACTATCCAGACCTCATCCTCTGCCGCCAGACCAACCTTCTTAAACACTGATGGAATCTCACATGCCGTCAGCTTGGAAGTGTCCCGCTTTGGTGCATTGAGAAACGCAACACGAATGTCCGTTGCAGCAACTTTCCAGCCCATGGTGGCTGCAGTTCGAACTGCGGCTCTGATTTGGTTGGCGTCAGCCCCAGATGCATAACGGTCATCAGCAGGATCCGTAGTTTCATAGTTGCCACAAATGACAGCCCTTGTTCGGAATGCCCCTGACACTGCTTTCCGTGTATGGACAGTTTTCCCTGGGAGAAGTTCGATAGGCACCTTTTTTTCGCTTGCCAGTCTTCGCAACTGCTCCCTTGAGACCTGGATCACCGCTTTCTTCTGATGTACCAGTTGATCATGTTCCTTTTGGATAGATGGCTTCCAATCCTCCAAGTTATTCCAAACCTCCTTGTTTCCAACCGTTTTGGTGGTCAGGAACTCTTGTTGTACATGATGTTGAGACCGTTTTTCTTCAGTGTCGCTCAAACACAAAAGTTCTTCCTCCGCCGTCACCTTTTGCAAAATGGCCTCAGTGACAGGCTGGATCCAATGAAGTTGATTTCCATCAGTCGCATCAAAAATCGCCATCTCATCCCTGATGTAGTTGCCCATGTTTGCATGCAGTGTTCTCAGTGCCACAGTTTTGGAGCTTTGATTTGAGGCCGACGGGTATGCGCCACCATACATCCGCCCGTTAGGCGCCTCCGCCCACTCCCCTCCGCAGACTCCATCCTCCTCCGATGAACCCGCAGAAGCTTGCTCACCCTGTGACACCGTCTCCAAAGACCAACCGCTTTCACTGCTCGTGGCATTGTTTTCATCAGGATGTTGTCGTGCGACTCCTGGTGCAACTGCCATAGTTGATCGCCACATTGGTTCAAACAGCGATGCATACTTTTTTAAGATCACTTCCTCCCCCTCAATGGTTGCCATTGAAACTGCAACTGGAGGAGATTTGCCAGTGACCCGTCGTGATGGTGGAGGATCTGATGCCAAATGCAAAGGTTGTTCACCACGATAAGGAAGATACACCACCTGCTCTTCCACACCTGGTTGCTGTTGTTCCGGTATGACCACATCATCGGTGTAGTAACACCTATTTGTTGTCAAAGATTGCACATAGTATGACGTGGACGTCAATGATGAGCCCACAGCTGGCCCAAGGATTCTGACCTCCTCCCTGATGTCACGCCAAGGCTCATAGCGCGAGTGCCAGCTCTTTTTGAGTGCAAACACCTTGGCCCCAAACCGAAGCAACTTCCCCGTAGGCCATCCCACCTCCGTCAACTGACATCGCAACCTTCTCTCCCCCAAGTGACGCGCAGCTAAAGGCCATTGGGTCAACGTGCATGATCCGCTGGAGACCAAAGTTCTAATCATCCGTTTGATGATACCGACCTCGGCCTCAACACGGCCGTTGCACTTGAAACTGCTTCCACTTGTGAAGGTGGTTATGATTCCCCTGTCCAGTGTCCATCTCCGCATTGGTGCCGATGTCAGTTCTCTGGCCCTGTCGGTATGGAGTCGAAAGACCGGCAGGCCCAACTGTCTCAACCTTGCATAAGCACGTGCCACCGCAGGGATCAGATGCTTTGTATTTCGTGAGGGTAACACCTCCACGAAGGTCAAGCTGCGTACACTCACATCAGAGGCTTCTTCAATCATGTTTTCCCACACTGACATTGCTCCTTTCATGGATTCATGACGCACCTTGTCCTCCTCCGGTATCTCATCTCCCTCAACTTCTTCCCCAAGCAAGTCCTCCTCCTCAGGTGGTAGCGGAGCATCACAACCATCCTCAGCAAAACCAAGCTCTGGATCATCAGGTGCAGGAAGAGGATGATCATCAGGTTGTTCACCACCAGGCAGGTCAATCAACGACTTGCCCTGTCCATCTACTGGGTATGTGTAACACGCTACCATGAGATACTTGCATGGCTCACCTGATTGGTCATGTCCAGGGGTCATCTTGCCAGACAAATCCAAAGACAAAGTGAACGCTTCGGCATGTTGAAGTCGCTTGTGAGGACGGCCTCTGGCTTGAGACTGAATACATTGTCTGCAATCCCTTCTGGCAGGGTAGTGGTCGTTGACAAAGTGTTTCTGCCACTGACGTAGTGCTACAGGACCCAGTGGATTCATTTTCGGTTGCTCCGGACCACGCAAATCCAAATCCAAGTGGTCAGGTGAAGTATTGCCACATAAATCCAAATGGCACTTCACCGAAGCAACTAGAGCAGCTTTCAATCCTGGTGCCCACGCAGCCCATGACTTTGACAAGGCGCATCTATCATCCAGAGACATCTCATCATAGTTGCCAAGTTGTACATCTCCTGATCGATCTGAAGGTGGGCCACGAAGTTCATGTAGCTGTTGTGCTTGTGGTAGAGCAACCCCCATTGAAGTAGGCTTCCGTTTGGAATGGCCCATAGGACCCTGGTCAAAACTGATCAACTTGATGTTGAACTTCGATGCAAAGCCTTTCCATTCAGGAGTTCTCCACATGCTCATAAACCCCACCTCTTTCACTTCTTTCTCAGGCCTGTAGTTCGCAGGATCTTCAGGTTGTTCAAGTCCAAAACCTGTTTGTGGCTCATGATGTGGCCTGACCTCCTCCGCAATCACATAGAGTGCCAATGTACGCAGAAAAATCAACGAGTCGTTCTGGACGAGCTCAAAGTCTTTCTCGCTGATTCCAGGGCAACCATATGGATGTTCTTCCGTTCTGATGATGCCAGGCCCATTGTCATCTTTGAACCGCAAGGCACTACAGGTTCTGCATGGTGGGCCTGCCAAAATAGCTTTCAATCTTCCAGATGCTGCAAGTGCGATCAAGTAGCTGAACACCGCATCATTCAGGATGTCCGCCTTGACTGGACCTTCAAGATCGATGCACAAAGTTTCGATCTTGTCAGTGTTGAGGTGTTTTTCCCAAAATCTATGCTCAGGCCCAGAACATATGTGAAGCACCACCTTTTCTGCTCGAAGAAGACGCTTCCTTTTCGCTCGATTCCATGGTAAGAGGTTACCATATCCATCCTTGGTCATGATGTTCATGTCTGGGATCAGTTTCATCATGAGCTCCTCCGGCAAATCAGGGAAGACTTCTTTGAGTTTGAGAAGCAACGCTGATTCCACACTCAAATTCTCTTCATCCACCTCCACGCCATGCCAAAGGGCCTTGAGGATGATGGCCCGTTTCAGCAACCTCAACTGCTTCAGCTCCATTTCCTCCAAGATCCCTTTGCCAATAGACTTTGGCACCATAGGACATCCATGACGGAGTCGAATCTCCACCGCCGCGCCTTCAGAGTTGTAGAGCTTACAATTGTCACCATGCCATTCAAACCGATAGCCAAGTTCAGAAAGTCCACTCATAGGAACGATCCAAGATGTCGGAGAGTCAGGGTGTGCAAGAAGTAGTTTCGTTCCAACCTTCAACTTCAAACTCTTTGTGACACCCTCTGCCAACGTGACCTCTGTTTCCTGAGCTGCTAACCACTCTTCTTGGCTATGAGCTTGACGTAGGCCATGAGTTGCACCAGAATCCAACAGGATCCATTGATCTCGATCATCATGTTTCAGGTTGGTGATCTTCATGACCTTCATGTTGAGAATACGCATGGACTTCAACAGGTTGGTGGCCTCCAACAGTAAATCACTAGCCCCCGTTTTGGCGGCAGACATTGCCACTCCTCCACTGGACTTCTCATCCTTTACTGTGGTTTCCAAAGTGGTTTTTTGCTGTGGGTCCTTTTCAGGTTGGCTGCCAGCATTCTTGTTCTCAGTGATCGATGTGGAAGAGGTCTTGGCGCCAGCATTGGAATTGTTGCCAGTGGATGCTGAGCCATCGCTTTTCTTTCCTGCACCTTTCCCTTTTCCTCCCCCGGAACCAGCATTGGTTTCACTGGTAGGCTTGGTCGGACTGGATTGCTTTGCACCGCCACGAACTGGACAATCAACTTTGCGATGCTGTGTTGAACCACAAACCCAACAACGATCATTTTGATCTTGACTCACATGCTGAAACTTGCAAGCGCGGCCCGCACGACATCCTTCAGGAGAAACATAGTATTTGCATGGCTTGTCAATGGAGCCTGCATTGGAAAAACCCTTCCCTTTCTTCTCAAACTCCCCCGGTTTTGCTGTGGAAGTTGCATTGCTTGCATCCATCTGTTTGATCTTCACCTGGGAATTGGTAGTTGAAGTGGGTGCCATCAAAACCAAGGTTTCCACTTCGGCCAACAAGCATTGCGAAAAATCCCACAACGCACCATGAGTTGGTTTCTCATCAAGTTGTAACTGAACTCGACTTTGGGCCAAACGAAATGATGACTGGGCATCCAGCTGTGAGAGTGGACCCACTATGCCCTCCAGAGCTTTGAGGAGCAAACATCCATCTGGTAGAACTGCGCCAATCTCACGAGCCCTGCCAAAGTGCCTTCTCCAACTCCGCAGTGATGATGCCATGTCGTTCAGGGTTTTTGTCGACCCCAAAGTGGTGAGGGCTTTCAGCAAAACCGCCTTTTCGCCAGGACCACCCGGTTGGTGTCGGATGTACAGGCGATACAAAATTGCAGTTGATGTCAGGTCCCGATCAATCACCAGCTCTTGTTGTTGTTCTTGGCTCACTGCTTTCAAAAGAAGGTGAACACCTCGCTGTTCTGTTCGCACATAGCTAGGCAACAGCAGCTCATCAGGCAACTTCGGCACAATCTGTACTCGTTGGAGAGGTGTTGCATCTTTCCAGCGCATGTAGTAAGCTTTGGCCTCTCTTGTCGTGAGCTCCCACCATCGCCCCGCTACATTGGACAGATCTCGCATTGTCGGTCCACACAGATGCAACCAATCACCGTACTCCAAAGGTGTGGCACCTTCTGGAAGATCAGGCAGTTCAACTTTCCCAATTGGATTGGGACCACTAAGGCTACTGACCATGCCATTGTCATGCCATCCAGACCCATCACATTTCGGATCTTGCCCTTGCCCTTTGCCGTCAGGATACCATAGAGGACTCCCAGGTTGAAGAAACAGCCCATCCCTGCTAGCCCGATCTTGATGGCATACATTTCCATGCATGAAAGCCCGATCAGGTTGAGCTTCAGTGCCATGCATCGAAGCCCGATCGTGAAGACCTCGATCACCATGCACAGAAACCCGATCTTGATGCACTCCATTGCCATGCATGAAAGCCCGATCTTGAAGAGCTCTATCGCCATGCATGAAAGCCCGATCGTGGAGAGCTCCATCGCCATGCATGAAAGCCCGATCGTGGAGAGCTCCCACACCGTGCTCAAAAGCCCGAGCTTGTTGACGAAGAGATTCACCCACAAAGTCGGCTTTGGCATGATCCCGACCAAAAGGATACTGAAAACTACCAGTCCAGTACATACTTTCTTTGAGTGGGTTCCCTTCAACTTGTCTATCCAAAGCACCCTTCATGCAATGAGCTTCCCTTTCCAACCACATTGCCCTAGCCGCCCTTGGAGAAAACTCGCCATTTCGTGGACCCTCAATCCCCACAGGAAAAGGTGGCACAGGTGGTGGCTGTGGTAAACCAGTTGAGACCTCATCACATGGTGGTGGAGGACCTTCAGGAACCTTTGTACCATTTGGAGTGCAACGCAAACATGATTGATCCACATCCAAGCCCATAGAACGTGCCCTCCTAGGACTCATGGACTCCTTGCGAACCATTGGACTTTTCCCCCTAGGTGGTGGTGTTCTACTGCCCCTTCTTCTACGTGCACGAGGTTGTTCATCCAAAGAACCCATGGATGGTGCCCCAACTTCTGACCAGGACATAGAACTCTCACCCTTCGAATTTTCCAAACCAGCTAGTCTTTGCTTCATCTCCTCCAAGTCATTCAACAACTTGCTGTTTTGTTCCCGCAAAAAACTAACCAGTTCCCCTTCAAGAGCACGCTGAAGCTGATCTTCACCCATCCCAGTCACACTGCTATCCGCAACACCCTTCACCGGCCCCATAGATTTCAGTGCAGATTCTGGTTCCTTCATGACACCCTCGGACATCATCGCAGCAGATTTCCCTTCTGTAGGAGGCGGAGGCAGCTTACTGGGTGGAGTCTCAAAACTCAGACCTTGTCTCACCTCATAGTTGCTACTTCCACGTCCCTTCCCAGTTGGGTTTTCTACCGTAGGATTTCCTCCAGATTTCAGTCCGCTAGTCAAGGGTTCCAAATTGCTATCTGATGGGGATGGCAAATTTGATGGTCTAGCTGCTTGCAACATGAACTCCTGCTGAACCTTCTGAGAATAGAATGGATTGCCCCCAGTTACCAAACCAGATGAGTCAGCAGGCACTGATGAAGATCGCTTAGAAGTGCCCTCCATGGCTATTGGTGCCACGTTGGGCTCATAACCCTCAAACAATTCGGTCCTTTTCCAACAAAATGCCTGCAGAAGATACATGTCCATATGTGCACCAACGAGGGCAGAAATCAGGGCTTGGATTATGTTTTCTTTGGAAAAAAACAGCTTTACAATCATGTAAGCATAATGCGATCCCGGATCTGGTTGGGGATCGCAGATTCTGGCAGCCAGCCTGGCCGAAATCTGCGATCCCCAACCAGATCCGGGATCGCACTACCTATACATGATTGTAAAGCTGTTTTTTCCAAAGAAAACATAATCCAAGCCCTGATTTCTGCCTATTGATTGAAGAAGCATCACGCGATCCCGGATCTGGTTGGGGATCGCACAGCTCGGCCAGGCAGGCTGCCAGAATCTGCGATCCCCAACCAGATCCGGGATCGCACTACCTATACATGATTGTAAAGCTGTTTTTTTCCAAAGAAAACATAATCCAAGCCCTGATTTCTGCCTATTGATTGAAGAAGCATCACGCGATCCCGGATCTGGTTGGGGATCGCACAGCTCGGCCAGGCAGGCTGCCAGAATCTGCGATCCCCAACCAGATCCGGGATCGCACTACCTATACATGATTGTAAAGCTGTTTTTTCCAAAGAAAACATAATCCAAGCCCTGATTTCTGCCTATTGATTGAAGAAGCATCACGCGATCCCGGATCTGGTTAGGGATCGCAGATTTCGGCCAGGCAGGCTGCCAGAATCTGCGATCCCCAACCAGATCCGGGATCGCACTACCTATACATGATTGTAAAGCTGTTTTTTCCAAAGAAAACATAATCGAAGCCCTGATTTCTGCCTATTGATTGAAGAAGCATCACGCGATCCCGGATCTGGTTAGGGGTCGCACAGCTCGGCCAGGCAGGCTGACAAAATCTGCGATCCCGACTGATGCATATAGTTGCATTTGCATATATTCGTCTCAACATTTGCTGTGCTGATCCCTGGCCTCACGTTAGAAACGCGATCCCGGATCTGGTTGGGGATCGCAAATTCTGCCAGGCAGCCCTCCCCAGAAGCGCGATCCTGAAATACTATTCACAGGCTCACAAAGGTTCCCGGTTTGAAATTACAGTTGGTGAACTTGTTCCCGAAAAGACAGGAGCTTTTACCTGGCATGTATTGTGGCATTGTTTTTCGGGTGTGGGATCTGACATATATTTTAGCCTTTGATGTGGCATATGTTCTGACATTTTATCTTAGATACATTCTGGCAACGTGTTTGGCAGTGGAGGCCCAGCACTGCCCACTGGCGGTCGGGGTCGCGGTGGAGGCCCGCTGGTGCCCACGTGATCCGAAGCTCGTGGTTGAGGTCCGCCGGTGCGCCCACTGTGATTGAGAGCTGGCGAAGAAGCAAGGAGAAGGAGAAAAAGAGGCGGGACGCGGACTACTCTAACAAAATCTATAACAACTGTCACTTGGCAGGTGCGGAAAAACCAGAGCAAACTGCAAACGCAGCCTCACTACCAACATGCATGAGAATATCATGGGATGAAGCTAAAACACAAGCGATTGTACAACCAAAGTCGAATACTTCAAGTAACTGTTTTCCCGACCCAAGCGACGGTTGTCTCCAACAAAGGCCTCCAAACGTCCAACATGGGCCCAACATGGACCCAAGATGAGACCAAGACCAATTTAGGCCTCAACATGGCCTAAGTTGGCTCTACAAGTGGGGCTTTCAACCAGCTGTATCAGATACAGCTGGCAAAAAGGGGTCCGTAGAGGCATCATCCTGCCAATATAGGCCTCAACATGGCCCAAGTTGGCTCTACAAGTGGGGCTTTCAACCAGCTGTATCAGATACAGCTGGCAAAAAAGGGGTCCGTAGAGGCATCATCCTGCCAATATAGGCCTCAACATGGCCCAACATGGCTCTACAAGTGGGGCTTTCAACCAGCTGTATCAGATACAGCTGGCAAAAAAGGGGTCCGTTCAGGCAAATATTTGGAACAATATATACAATGTTCTACAGTGAGTCTCATCATACTTAAGAGGCTTCAGGCCACAGAATACCATGGAAACCAGAAGGTCAGCACCTTCTTGTCACAGGTTTTCCATCCCATAGTCACGGAAGGCTCACCAACCTGGATGTGCTGCCAAGGAAATTGCATTACAGACAACCAGCAAAAAATCAAAGAAGAAATGCGCAGCCGTGACTGCAAAGAATTCAAGATCTCATGAACCAGCCCAACAACGCATGTTGCAGTTATTCTGATTGCTTCGACCAAGTTAGTGTAATGGAAGGCAATGGAAGGCATATTTTTTTTTCCACCCCTAACAGGTCTTCGGAAGCTCTGTTGTCCAAGGTCACTGGTGTACGGCCCCTGTCCTGACTTGCCGAAAATGATGCAGGACACCCCAAATGAACACCTCCTGGACGCCCTGCACAGTCTATCATGGAACCTCCCTCTTGACTAGAACCTCCCTTTTGATTGAGGCATCTCCAGCTCTGCAAGGAAGCATAGCAGGGTTCGAGACATAGTTTGTCAAAATCCGAGACAAGTCCACATTCTCTTTTTCGAGAAGCTGTATGCGCTCAGCGGATTCCTGCAAACTCTTCACCAATCCTTGCGGGTCCTGACATTGGGCCACCAGCGCCTTCGCCTCATCCAGCTCCAGCTGCTTCTGCAGATCATCATAGCCCTGGATCTTTTGGTAGTCTTCAGCACTCAAACGATATCTAAGATTTTTTTCTTCGGCTCTCATACCTGAGGCCGCATTGCGGACCGCAAAACTTCGACAGATGTTTTGGAATATAGAGTGTATGCAATATGAAATGCCTCATACCCAACATTATTCAGTTCGTCAATATGGCATCCCGTATGGCTGGGCCAGAGCATGGCTAAGGACTCTTGCGGGTTTGGGTTGAAAACTCCAAGTTGCTTTATGTGGGCAGCTTTTTTTCTGCTCATCATCCTTCTTCACGGGTGTGTCCGCAACAACCTGCTCTGATGATCTCTTTGACTTGCTCCTGCCCGCAGCATCGCTCTTCGATGTCTTGCTCTGGCGGCAGGTGGACATGCTGAAGCTCTGAGCCTGAGAACCTTTACTATATACCTGCTTGTCCATGGCCATCAATGGTTGGACGCGGCAGTGATTCAAACAATGAGTCATCCATGAAAAACACGCAAGTACTAACTTGGCGTGATTCCTGGAGATGTAGCCCTAGCAAGGGAGGTTCTACTGGTCCGTGTTCATCTTAGCTGACTGCGCAAAATCCTTGTTTGAAATGGAAAAGTGGCAAAGGATGCGGCGGAGGCATTCCCACATGTTCCAAGGTCAGATAATCAGAAGAGTCGGTGACCACGCATGACTGATGACGCAACATGACACTTCTGGGAATTCTAGGCCACCGAGCTCTGTCGAGAAGCACGCGATCCTGCTATCTCTAGCCTGCAGAATGTCGACAACCCAAGAAAAATGACAAGACAGGGGCCCGAATTGGAGGCTAGAACTTCGAGTAAATGCGCAGAGCTTGCATGTCTTGCTTGCTACATCCCTGACAGGCATTGTTCAACGCTGTGCATACCAATTGATCTTAGCAGTATATACCTGCATTTGTTTCGTGGAGCTTGGGCTCCGAATCGGGCCCCGAATCCGGGCCCCGAACCAAAGCTTCGAACAAATCGGGCGACTACACTCAACTTGAATTTAAACCATGTTTGTTACATTTCTAAGGCATACTTTGCAAGGTTACCCATGTCATGGAGATTGGGCTCCCCATCGAGGCCCCGAATCCGGGCCCCGAATCCGGGGCCCGAATCTTCGAACATCAGGCGACTACACTCAACTTGAATTTGAACCATGCTTGTTACATCTCTGAGGCATAGTTTGCAAGGCTGCACGTACAATATACCCATTTCATGGAGATTGGGCTCCCCATCCGGGCCCCGACTCCGGGGCCCGAATCTTCGAACATCAGGCGACTACGCTCAACTTGAATTTGAACCATGCTTGTTACATCTCTTATAAGGCATAGTTTGCAAGGCTGCACTTACCATATACCCATTTCATGGAGATTGGGCTCCCCATTCGGGGCCCGAATCTTCGAACATCAGGCGACTACACCCAACTTGAATTTGAACCATGCTTGTTACATCTCTAAGGCATAGTTTGCAAGGCTGCACTTACCATATACCCATTTCATGGAGATTGGGCTCCCCATCCGGGGCCCGAATCCGGGGCCCGAATCTTCGAACATCAGGCGACTACACTCAACTTGAATTTGAACCATGCTTGTTACATCTCTGAGGCATAGTTTGCAAGGCTGCATATACGATATACCCATTTCATGGAGATTGGGCTCCCCATCCGGGCCCCGAATCCGGGGCCCGAATCAGAGGTTCGAACTTGGAGCAACTACACTCAACTTAAGTTTAAATCATGCTTGCTACATCTCTTAGGCATACCATATACCCGCCAAGTGTATTTTAAGGAGATTAGGCTCCGAATCCGGGCCCCGAATCCGGGCCCCGAATCCGGGCCCCGAATCCGGGGCCCGAATCGGAGATTCGAACTTCCAGACTTCGAGCGACTATGTTCGGCTTGAATTTAAGTCATGCTGCTACATTTAAGTCATGCTGTATGTATATCCATGTTTGAATTTTGGGCGTGAAGTGGTGCATTTATTTTGTAGCAACTATTTCTGGTTCACAAGCACAGCCGCTTTAGAATGGAATTCGTTTACTTTAAAACTTTAAAATGACCCTTTCATAGCACAAAATCTCTTTCCGACTTGCACCCCTTCCTGGGTTTAGAATGACTTTTGGAACAGATGCCAGGCATCACTTCACCAGGCAGCACTTGCTTTAAAACGGGTACTGTAGTTTTTAGTAGGTTTAACTTGCTTTAAAATGGGTA